GGATCAGGAGTTCAAAGCCAGCCTTGGCTACCTAGCAAGCTTGAGGCCAGCTTGGGCTGCATAAGACAGCAAACAAACAAACAAAAAGATAAGCTTAGATACTCTACTAGAGATATATTTTAAATGGTATAAGGCAGCCAGGAGTGGTGACACATACCTTTTGTCCCAGCACTTGAGAAGCAGAGGCAGACAGATCTCTGTGAAACTGAGACCAGTCTGGTCAGCTGGGGCTACGGGGAGATCCTGTTTCAACAAAAAAAGAAAAAGGGCTAGAGAGATGGCTCAGTAATTGAGAGCACTGGCTACTCTTGCAGAGGACCCAGGTTCAGTTCCCAGCACCCACCCACATGGTAGCTAAGAACCATCTGTAACTCCAGTTCAAGTGGCTCCAACACCCTCTTCTGGCCTCCAAGGGCATTGTGTAACAACACAGGTGCACTTACATGAAGGCAAAACACTCAAACACATAAAAATAAATAAAAACACTTAAACAAAGCAAAACAAAAATCTTATAAGGACACAATGAAAGAAAATGTTCATTTTTTTCCCCTAAATGACTTGAAAAAGCCACCAAAATACAGTACAATGTATTTTTGTAATATATATTTTTCTTCTTAACCTTTCTTAACCACATTCCCAGTCTGTAATATCAATTTAAAATATGACTATTAGGCTGTTCGGTGAGAAAGAGATAATATCATTGACTCGGGAGAACAGTAGAGGAAAAATTATATCTGCAAGTTTCTCTGTTAACAGTTGTAACTTAACCAAAAATGAACTGTTCATGTCTCCTTAGCAAAGTTTTCTGTTGGTAGTGGTGGGGGGTTTTGCGTGTGTGTATATATAGTCAGTTTGAGGACAGCCTGAGCTACACAACAAGACCCTGTCTTTAAAATAATAATAGTATTCAGGGGCAGCTAGAAAGATGACTTAGTGGTTGAGAGTACTGGCTGCTCTTATAAAGGACCTGGGTTTGGTTCCCAGCACCCGCATGGCAGCTAACAACCATCTGTAACTCACTCCAGTTCCAGGGGATCTGAGGGCCTCTTCTGCCCTTTGCAGGTGCTGCTTGCATATATGTGGGGCACTTACATACTTGCAGGCAAAACAGTTAAAGAACATAAAATTTAAAGATGAATAAGGGCCAGGCATGGTGGCACATGCCTTTAATCCCAGCATTCAGGAGACAGGCAGGTGGATCTCTGTGAGATCAAGGCCAGCCTGGTCTATATAGTGAGTTCCAGGCTGGCTGGGGCTACAGGAAGACCCTGTCTCAAAAAGACAAGAAAAAAAAAAAGAATCCTCTTTTAATGTAAAACTTTAAATTTTTAATTATTGTGTGTGTATGTATGGATGTGTGTTGAGGGGGTGGCACACAAGTGGAAGTCAAGGGAGAACTTGTATAAGTTGATTCTCTCTTACCATGTGGGTTCCAGGGATTGAAGTCAGGTGATCAGGCTGTGCCAAGTGACTTGATCCACTGAGCCATCTTTCCATCTCCATATACACTAACAAAATAATTTGGTAGTTATGAGCATATCAAGAACAGTTTTATTGGGGCTGGTGAGATGGCTCAGTGATTAAGAGCACTTACTTTTCTTCCAGAGGAACTGGGTTTGATTACCCATACATACCCGCACAAACATATACACACACGATAAAAACAACTAAATAGATAAATAAAAATAAGATTAAGTGCTCAGCTTTCCTCACCCAGGCATTTCTATTTTGAAACTTGGGATTTTCTTGACAATGACACCTAATTAAATTGACTAATTTTTCCATGCCTAATTCAATTGACTAATTTTTCCATTGTCTAGTGAGTGAATTAATTAGCAAGCTGAAGAGGTTGTTGTCAAGCTGTAGGCGACTTATCACTTACTCTCCTATGGTCTCTTCTTGTAAAGGCCCGACATGCAGCAGAAATTGGAGCCGATGGCATTGCTGTTATTGCCCCTTTCTTTCTCAAGCCTCAGAACAAAGGTGAGCAGGTTGGCAAAGGTGAATGCACAGTGCCTACTGTCTACTTCTTGTTCCTTTTCAAAATGATTGTATTTAACCCATACAAGTTGCAATGGACTATTGCTCCTCCTAGATCCATAAGAGAGATGGTATTGAAGCACTTGGATTCTTTGCCAAGTCATCTGACTGGCTCATCTACTGAGCCTCATTTAGTAGATGCCTTTGTTTGGGTGAGGCCAGTAAGTTGTGTGGGTTTGAGAGTCATATGGCAGAGCATGGCCCTCTTTTTCTCAAGAGAAGTGTAAATAGTCATTCAAAACAACATGTCCTATTTAGGGTGGATGAATAGTGATGCATGGAAAAAAGATTTCACAAAAATGTTCATTGTCCTCCTCCACTGCCTGCTCTGCAGAAACTGTGTCCCATTATACTGACACTTGTTATTGTGTTGGCTGCTTGCTTGTTTGTTTACTTTTTGAGACAGGATCTCACATAGCCCATCCTTACCTTGAGCTCATTATGTAGCAAAGAATCATGCTGAATTTCTGGTCTTCCTGCCTCCACCAACAAGGGATTACAGGAGGCCTGTACCACCACACCTGGTTTTGCTGAGACCCAATCCTTACTGATTAGCAATAAAAGAGCTATAAAAGGGTATTCAGGATATAGCATGTTTGGTAGAGTGCTTGCTTCTCATGCACAAAGCTCAGGGTTTACCAGCTCAGGCTGGTGGGTGCATGCCTAAAATCCAAGCACTGGGGAGGTAGAGACAGGAAAATCAGAAGTTAAAAGTCATCCTCAGCTACATAGGAAGTTTGAGGAGAGAGGGGGGTAGAGAGAGAAACAAGTGTTTGTATGGAGGATTAAAGCCACAACTAAATGCATAAAATGTCATGAATTAAGTTTGGGAATTTAGATCTTTTTTAAATTTTTTCATATGGTTTTACAAATTTTTATATGAGTAGTATTTCAAAAAATGAACAAAGGAAAATGAATTATACATACTAATTTTACCTGAAATAGTTAACATATGCTGAACAGTATCCAGGGAAAGGAGAGTACATACAGTTCTCTCTCCTGCTGCTGGGTGGCATCCACAACGTAAGCATTCTGCCAGTTCTGCGGCATCTGCAGCTCACCTTGGTCTTTTTGAGACAGGGTCTCCCTGTAGCCCCAGCTGTCCTGGAACTCACTATGTGGACCAGGCTGGCCTGTAACTCACAGAGATCTGCCTGCCTCTGCCTTCTGAGTGCTGGGATTAAAGATGTGCACCACCACACCCAGCAAGATGTAATAGCTTTTTTAAAAAATATTTTATTTACACCTGGTGTGGTGGCACACGCCTTTAATCCCAGCACTCAGGAGGCAGAGGCAAGAGGCAGTCAGATGCCCTGGAGCTGGATTTATGGGTCTTAATAAAGACCATATAGGTTCTGGGAATCGAACCCAGGTTCTCGGCAAGAGCAGCCAGTCCCTTAATGAGCCATCTCTTCAGCCCCAGGAATCCATCCCACTTTCTCAATAAAGCAGAGGGCACTCTTCTTTTCTGCCTGGCTCAGTCCCCAAAGGGAAAACTCTTGAGTTTTTGCAAGGTAAGCAACAAATCTTACACTCTTAGAATTTTTTTGTTTGTTTTTGTTTTTTTATTTTTATTTTATGTGTATGCGTGTATTGCCTGCATGTAGGTGCTGGGATTCAAACCTGGGTCTTCTGCAAGAACAACCAGTGTTCTTAACTGCTGAGCCATCTCTCCAGCCCCAGAACTTTTTTTTTTAAAGGTAGTGTCTCTCTCTGTAGCCCTGGCTGGCCTGGAACTCCCTGTACAGAACAAACTGGCCTCAAATTCACAGAGATCCACCTGCCTCTGCCTCCCTCCTGTTGAGATTAAAGGTGTGTGCCACACACCCAGTGAGCACTGACCAATTTTATAGTAGTAGTATAGTATGGTAGGAAAACAATGATCTCCTTCTGGCCTCTCTACTTCAGATGACCTGAGTAGAGACATAGTAGCAGTGTCAGAAATGGTAAGAGCAGTGGAGAACTTCCAACTTCCAGGAGGATGGCTTCATTTCATTGGATGATTCTTTTTTTTATCAGGGAAATCCACTGTTTTATTTTGTTCACACATGACTCTTCCTCCTGTTCTTTCAGATGTCCTGATTAGTTTCCTGGGGGAGGTGGCTGCTGCGGCCCCTGCACTGCCATTTTATTATTATCACATTCCTTCCTTGACAGGGGTAAAGAGTAAGTATTGCTTCTTTTTTTGTGTGGTTGTTTGTTTGTTTGTTGTTGTTGTTGTTGTTGTTGTTTTAATCTTTTTGAGACAGGGTCTCCCTGTAACCCCAGTTGGCCTGGAACTCACAGAGATAGATCTTCCTGTCTCTGGCTCCCAAGTGCTGGGATCAAAGGTGTGTACCACCATGCCCAACAAGATTTTGCTTCTATTTTATTTTATTTTATTTCATTTCATTTCATTTCATTTTATGTGTATGACTGTTCTGCCTGTATGTAAGTGCACCTATATGTGGTCAATGCCAGTGGAGGCCAGAAAAGGGAGTCAGATCCCCTGGAACTGGAGTTACACATGGTTGTTAGCCACTATGTGGGTGCTGGGAACTGAACCCAGATCCTCTGTAAGAGCAGCCAGTCCTTGTAATCACTAAGCCATCTCTTCAGCCCCCAAGTATTTCTTCTTTTGATTGTTTCTCCCAATTCACAACCTACCCTATTCCACTAAGAAATCTCCTTTTCTTCCCATCCTACCCAGCTAACAGTAGCCCATGATGAGGCAGTTACAGTTGCTCCAAAGCGAGTTGTTCTAACATCCCAGCTCTTATTAATCACTTCATATGGAAGTTCTTAAGCATAAAAGAGTTGGTATACCTGGGTGTGGTAGTATATGACTGTAATTCCAGCCCTCTGGAGGCTGGCAGATCAAGAATTCAAGGTGGTGCATGCCTTCAATCCCAGAGGCAGGCAGATCTCTGTGAGTTCAAGGCCAGCCTGGTTTACATATTGAGGCCAGCTGAGGCTACAGGGAGACCTTGTCTCAAAAAGACAAAAAAAGAATTCAAGGTTATCCTCCACTACACAGTGAGTTAAAATCTAGCCTGGGATATATGAAACCCTGTCTCAGAAGAAAAATTGACAAGCTAAGGCAAAAGGATTGCCATGAGTTTTAGGCAAGGGGTCAACTACTGAGCTATATTCCAAGCCCTCTGCATCTTCTTATATTAGAAGACATGAGATCCTAACCCCCACTGTGTGTGCCTTGTGTCTAACCTGAAAAAAGATATCCTGATCTGTTCTGACTTTTCCTTTTTTGGTTTTGTTTTTTGTTTTTGTTTCTAATTTTTTTTTATTATTATTTTGTGCTGAAGATCAAACCCCAGGGTCTTCTGCATGCTGGACAAGTGGTCTACCACTGATATACACCCCTAAGTTGTGACGTGTGTGTGTGTGTGTGTGGTGTGTGTGTGTCGTGTGTGTGGTACAAGGGACTGAACCCAAGGCCTCATGCATGCTAGGCTGGTTCCTTACTCCTAAGACATATCCTCAGCCTAAGGCTATGCTTTATACATATTTTGTGAAATAAATGGTTTTCCTACTTTCTCATACTTCGGACTTAACACAAAATACTTCACCACAATGATAGGTGTATAGGGATTTCTCCGTGCCAGCAATCAGCTCTCCACTAGAGACAAAGTGGTATTCAGTGATTCAATTCCATTCTAACAGTGTCTGCCCGGAGATAGAATCAGATCCTGCTGGTTGACTGATTAATTTGCTAGAGCAGCTCACAGAACTTAAAGAAATCCTTTACCTACCCTTACCCATTTACTACAAAGATGAAAAGATGCATAAGGCATGTGGGAAGAGATAGGGGATATTATCTCTATGTGTATTCTTCCCGGGAACCTCCATGTGTTCAGCAAGCCAGAAACTCTCTGAATGCTATTTTGGGGTTTTGTGAAGACTTTATTAGATTGTCATAATTGAGTATGTCCTTGGCTATTGGTGATCAAGTCAACCTTCAGCTCCTCTCCCCTTCCAAGAGGTTGGGGGATGGAACTGTAAATTCCAATCCTCTAATCACATGGTTGGTTCTCCTGCAGTCGTTCCCCCATCCGGAGACTGTCTAGAAGCCCAGTCAGAGTCACCTTACTAGAACACAAGATGGGATGGGGATGTAGATCAGCTTAAGGTAGAGAATTCACCTAATACATGCCAAGCATTGGGGTTTGATTCCCAGCACCACATGGACAGGGCATGGTAGTACATGCCTATAATCCCAACACTTGCGAGGTTGAAGCAGGGGGAAGTTCAGTGTTTTCCTCAGCAACTATATAGGGAAACCAGTCTGGGTTACATATGACCCTGTGTCAAAAACAAAAAGGGCTAGAGAGATGGCTCATTGGTTCAGAGCACTGGTTGCTCTTCCAGATGACCTAGGTTCTGTTCCCAGCACCCACATGTAACAACTGTCTATAATTCTAGTTCCAGGGACCTGATGCCCTCTGACCTCTGTGGGCATTGCACACATGTGGTATACTTACGTTCATGCAGGTAAAACACTCACACATAAAAAATAAATGTAAATGAAAATAAAACAACAAAAGCCCCACAAGATGCTCCTATGACTCAGGAAATTCCAAAAGTCTCAAGAGCTCAACATCAGGAAGCAGGGTCAAAGACCAAATATTGGGACAAAAGAGTCTCCTAGCCTCCTTATCTGCAAGGATTTCTGTCTCAGGAACTGGAGGCAGAGAACAAATATGTCTGCAATATCACAAACACCCATCTACTGACCACAAGGGAAGTTGGGGTTAACAAGTACGTAGAGCTACTGGGCAGAGGCAAGCAATGCTGCCTGAGTCAGTTCCACCGACAACGGCCGCGGAAGTGTGCTGATATGGGGCTGTGCGGGATGTTTTGATGGTGGTAGTGTTTCCTGTTTTTAAGGCAGGGTGCTGCTGTGTAGCCCAGGCTGGCTTCAGATTCTCTATGTAGCCCAGGTTAGCCTCAAAATCCTCTTGCCCTAGCCTCCTGAATGCTGGGCTTATAGGCCTGTGCCACCACACCAACTGAAGATGATATTTGATAGTTTCTGTTGCTATATGGATTAATAAGACATTTGTTGTTTTGAGCAGTTCGTGCTGAGGAGCTGTTGGATGGGATTCAGGATAAGATCCCCACCTTTCAAGGGCTGAAATTTAGCGACACTGATCTTTTAGACTTTGGGCAGTGTGTTGATCAGAATCACCAACGACAGTTTGCTTTGCTCTTTGGTGTGGATGAGGTAAGTTACACACACACACACTCACTCGCTCACTCACTCACTCACTCACTCTGTGTTTTCCAACAGGGCAGTTTCCCTTCAAAGCAATTCATGCAGCTGTTTATAATACAGCATCTCTTCTCTTTCTCAAAGAACTGAATCTCTTTGTCTCTTTCTCATCAGCAACTGTTGAGTGGTCTGGTGATGGGAGCTACTGGAGCAGTGGGCAGGTAAGTATGACTCGTCTTTCCCAGAGATTACTGACTCCCACAAAGGTGCTCATCCCTGAAACAGTTCTACTTTCTTGCATATATGTCCTTAATAATAGACGTCACCTTTTCATTCCCATACCCATTCATCAAAAAGAAATGGAGTAAGGCTCTGTCATTTGTCATTTGTCAGTCGGTCATGGATGGGCCAACCTCCATTGTTGACCCTGGTTTAAAAGGCATGACCACCTTTCTGTCTTCCTTTTCATCTCCCTCCTCTCCCTCCACCTGGGATGTAGAGCCTGCTCATTCTGGCTTTTTCTCTCAAACATTAATGAAATGATCCTTGAGTTTTGGAAGGGAGGGAGGGAGGGAGGGAGGGAGAAGCAGAAGGGGGTATGTCAAAGAACCAGATAAGGTCAAAGAACTGAGAAGATGGGGCCAAAGCAGACTTATTAACTGGCTGGGACCCAGGAAGAGTAATCTCCAAAAAAACCTGGTCCTTGAACTAGAGTTTTACATGTCATTTTATAGTAAAAACTACCAAGCATCTGCAGTTAACTACTCAACATTATATAATTGGTTAATTCTATCTTTTAAGGGAAATATGTAAGGGATTTTTTTTTTTCATCTTTTTGAGACAGGGTCTCCCTGTAGCCCCAGCTGTCCTGGAACTCACTATGTAGACCAGGCTGGCCTTGAACTCACAGAGATCTGCCTGCCTCTGCCTCCCAAGTGCTGGGATTAAAGGCGTACGCCACCACACCTGGCTATTTTTATTTTTTAATGTGTATGAGTGTATTGCCTGTGTGTATATAAATGCACCACATGTGTGCAATGCCCATAGAGGCCAGAAAAGAGTGTCAGATCCCCTGGAACTGGAGTAACAGACAGTTGTTAGCTGCCATGTGGGTGCTGGGAACCAAACCCAGGTCCTCTGCAAGAGTAGCCAGTGCTCTTAACTGCTGAATCATCTTTCCAGCCCTGAAAAGGGATTTTTAGAAAAGAAAAGAGAAGAGCTGGAGACATGACTCAGTGGTTAAGAACACTGGTTATTCTTGCAGAAGCCCCGGGTTCAAATCCCAGCACCCACATGGCAGCTAACAACTGTCCGTAACTCCAGTTCCAGGGGATCCAATGGCCTCTTCTGTCCTCCTTGAGCATTGCATAACACAGGTGCACTTATGCAGGCAATATACTCGTACACATAAAATAAAAATAATAAATAAAATATTTTAAAAGAAAAAGAAAAGAGATCAAAATGTTTATAGGGGAAATGGGTAGGAAGTCCCAACCTTAGCCAAGGAACTATTGGCAGCAGATCACTGCTGGGTAAGGGAGAGTTGGTCTTCTTTAAGGAAATGATGCTAGATAGGCTGAACAGGCTCCAGTGGATGAACTCACACCAAGGGACATCTTGGTACATAAACTTGACTAGATAGGCTTTAACATGTATGACAGAATGTATGAAATCCTGTGGGCAGGCTATGAGGGCAGGATGCAGGTAGGAAAGGAGGTCTAAATATGATCAA